GCAGCGGCACCTGGACAGGCTGGAGAGTTGGGCAGAGAGGAACATGATGAAGTTCAACACAGGCAAGTGTCGAGTACTGCACCAGTACAGGCTGGGGACTGACCTGCTGGAAAGCAGCTCTGCCAAGAGGGACCTGGGAGTCCTGGTGGACAACAAGCTGACCATGAGCCAGCAGTGTGCCCTTGTTGCCAAGAAGGCCAATGGTATCCTAGGGTGCATTAAGAGGAGTGTGGCCAGCAGGTCGAGGGAGGTTATCCTCCCCTTCTACTCTGCCCTGGTGAGACCCCACCTGGAGTACTGTGTCCAGTTCTGGCCTCCCTGGTTCAAGAAAGACGAGGAACTCCTTGAGAGAGTCCAGAGGAGGGCAACAAAAATGATTAGGGGAGCGGAGCATCTCTCCTATGAGGAAAGGCTGAGAGAGTTGGGCTTGTTCAGCCTGAAGAAGAAAAGACTGAGAGGGGATCTCATCAACACGTACAAATATCTTAAGGGTGGATGTCTCGAGGACAGAGCCAGACTCTTCTCAGTGGTGCCCAGCGACAGGGCACAAACTGAAGCATAAGAGGTTTCAGTTGAATAAGACAAAGAACTTCTTTACTTTGAGGGTGACAGAGCCCTGGAACAGGCTGCCCATGGGGGTTGTGGAGTCTCCTTCTCTGAAGATATTCAAAACCCGCCTGGATGACGTCCTGTCCAACCTGCTCTAGGTGAACCTGCTTTAGTGGGGGAGTTGGACTAGATTATTTCCCAAAGTCCCTTCCAACCCTTGCCATTCTGTGATTCTGTGTAATGCTTTTGACAGGAAAGTTGGCCTCCATTAGAAGTGGCTAAAGACTGAAAATCCTCTAAGACCTTGAACAAAACACACCAAACCATAGCCAGCTACCCTGTCCATTTGCCTTAAAGAGAAAAATCTGTCTTGCTGACCCAGCAGGCAATTGCATCAGGCTGAATACATCATAGAGATGTGACATTACCAAATCTCTGATACCAAGATGGTGAAGATACAGTGTCAGAATGATTCCAAAGCACTGTTAGCACTTAAAAAGAACAAGAAAAGTATGCTCCTACTAGCAGATGACCTTTCTGCACCCCTATCTGCTGACCAAGGGTTAGTACCAGGAGAACTGAGCGGGATCCAGGGACGGGAATACTTCTGTTTATCTGAGATTGCACTTTTCCTTTTCTCCTGAACTCATCTCACTGGTGATACCCCTATCGCTACTTCCATCCACTTTGAAATGCATTATTACGTCTCTATTTATGGTATAAATTCTGCAAGAAAACTCATTCCTCCTATGGCAGCAGTTTTTATCTCTTTCAAAACAAACCCAGAACCCCAAATCAAAATGCAGTATGATCAATGTTGCCCTCAGTTACTCATTGGTCAGGAAACTAGTATCAGAATCTCTGTAGGAGAATAGAATGTATCACAAAATCCAGATGATAGATGATGATTTCATAACATAATCTATTTTCCTATAATTTTCCTATGATTTAAAGTTTAGTGGCTGCAGTTATTTAGAAAAACTGCAGTTATATCTTTATTTTGCACGTATGTATATATTTATTTACAAAAATTAAGCTGGCAAAGAAAGCTGGAAAAGTTGGATTGTAACTAAAATTATACAGAATGTGCCTGGAGCTATTTTCATTCTTCTATGGTCTTTCTGGGCGTTTTGCTGTTTTGTTTTTTTTTTTTTTTCTTTTTCTTTTCTTCTTTTTAACTGTAATAGCATAAGCAGAGCTGGATTTTCATTAGGAATGCTGCCAGAAGATTACAAGCTTTTTTTTTGATGAACTATAAAATTTGTGGGCACAATGAACAAACCATAGTAAGCAAGGATTTTGTTATTTCAATGAACAGTTACTAAAACTATTATGAAACACAATCAAAAGGAAGGTGCAGCAGAAATATGTACTTTTCCTAGCAGATTTACATAAAACATTTCTTTCACTGATGATCTTATAATGCACATATTCAGAATAAATATTTTCCAATGGCACTAAAAAGTGTGCACAAAATAATGTGATTACTAGTCCTTCTAAACGTAACATGCAAGTGGATCTGCCCCATATATGCAAACAGGTCCATGTGTGTATATATGAACACATACATGCATGCACAGGCTCACACACACACACACATTTTTCAATTGAAAAGAAAATCAACTCTTCGAAATAATAGCTACCTCATAGCAGTTTCATACACACCAATTCTATTTTTACATGAGATTACCCCTGTGCAGTATGCTAGAAGCATGAATTATCTGCAAAATGTCGAATACAGCCCTTAATGACCATGTCTTCAAATGAAAAAAAGCAAGATGGAAGTTAATTTTACTGGTTTTGGAGACGGTAGTAAACTAGAATTTCGGATCTACATGTTCCACAAAACTGAGGAACCTCTGATTTTCAAGAAATATCTGACCTTTTGTTTAATTTCTGATCTTCTAAGTTTTCGTAAATAATTAACTATATGTCACATGTACCTGACCTATAATCATGCAAATTATAGGGGAAAAAAAAATGTAAACTGACCAATTCAGGAAAAATTGTGGAGGATCCATGTACATTTCTGTATTTTTTACATTTCCTTTAAAATCTGTTCTTTGTGTCAACAGCACACCTTCAGTTTCTGAAGACCTGTAGCAGAAGTTCATACCTGGCACCACTTTTTGAAGGCCCATACAACTCCAGTTTTAAAACTTCAGAATTTGGCTATTAGAACTGATTTTCACATAACCGATTTTAAGGATCTATATTATATTATACTGTCAAAACAGATTTTTTTTTTTTTTTTAATTCTCAATAGTGGAGACATTATTAAGTTACTTAGGCACAACACATTAAAATAAATTGGACCTTTTTAGATTTCTCCTCCCCTCTTGTACACTCCAGGAAGGAAGGAAAGTGGGTCCCTGATTTCGGTCATGAGTATGTAGGTTCTGACAATGGATTTTCCTTGGAAAACCTATCAAGTCTCATGTGTATATTGGTCTAAAAAAATGCATTAATTCAACTCATAATTTAACTAAAAAAATAGTGACTGACAAAACATGCCACATTTTATTTGCTCTGCTTATACCACAGATAGGACTGTTTGCCTGAGCCACAGTAAGGCAAAGTAAATATCATCCTCCACTCTGTTTTACAATCATGAATAATACATAACCGTACTTATCATATTTGATTTGCTGTTTGAGTTTCATTATAACTTTAGGTGCTCCATTCCTTGCAAAATTCCTATTGTTTTGAAATTTACACCAAGGTTTTGAAATTACACCAGGTCTTCACCAAGTAAAATTTGGAGAGCTATAGTATCAGTATCTTTCTATGAAGAATACGAACATCTGAGCTTTAAATAGATAATGCTGAGAAGTGTTTGGAAGTCATATTTTAGTTTTTAAGTAACTTGCTAACTTCACTGAGAAAAATGAGTTAGGGCTCATGCAAGGCAAATCATCCCATGTTTGGTAGCCCCCTGTGCCTTCCTCTTAGCCATACAGCCCTGGTTCCTGGTCAGAGCTGGACTACTGAGTAAGAGGGATCAAAGATTTGCTCTGTCACAGCAATCCCTATTTCAATGAGATTTAGGAGCTGGAAAGGAATGATAGATCAAGCCATAAAACCATTTTGCGAAGTACTTAAAATATTTTGTTCTTTATAGTAAGCGGAGAAAAACACCAACCTAAAATCCTTTCTGTAATACAATACCACCTTTTATTACTTTAAGAGCACGTCATTCATTCAGATGCATCTGAAATAACATCTTACTGTATACAACTACCTATATTCTAGTCTAATATTCAGGCAGAGTGCATTTTTGAGCAACACAATATTAATCACAATTCTGGGCTTCAAATACGCCCTACTACATCTACCATTTGGTCCAACTGCATGACTATATGCTTTCTGGCTTAAAATTCATAAATTAGTAGTGTAGAAAAGTATTACAATCTTTTTGTTAAAGCTGACCAAGCTTTACATTTTGAAAGAATCACTTCTACTACTCATCTGGCAATAAAAGAAAACCAAGGGGAAAGGGTGAGATATCTGACGATATAAATATTATTACTTACCTTAGTTTAGACTACCCTGACTACATGAGAGGAGTGCTGCAATACGTGTGCATTCTATGCTAGGCTGAAGCTTTTTCTTCTCCTTATTTTAGTAAGAAAGAACCCTTAGGGTCAGGTCCTGCTCCCCCTGAAGACAAGAGCAAAAGTCTTCACTGGGGTTCAATAGGAGCAGGACAGAGACTTTAAAATATATTTTTTTTTCCTTTTGTATCTTTCTGTATGAGTTCCTTCAGGCTATGCAGATATGAAGCTTTTAAGATTTCTGAAGTCACCATAAAGAGTTGGAAGTCTTAATGTTCCTAATGAAGCATCATGCTGTCATCTAATTTATCTGAAGTTGCTGACCTCGATTTGCCAGTGTTGTTTTTAAAGAAAAAAATATTGGATTTACTCTTGACTAAGAAATCAAAGATAGTTGCTAAAAACATATTTTTTGCCGCTACAGGTACAACCTTTTACCCGAGTTACATAACTGCCATTCATTTGCTCAGATTTCAATTTCCCCATTTGTACTCAACTCTTCTGCTAGAAGAAATTTCCTATACATAAAAAGCTGCTCTTAGCCAAGCCATTATCCACTGTTGATACCCACATATGTCTCTCTGCATTTCCTTGCCTACCAGTAAACAAGGCTACTAAGAGATAAAACCAGTTTTTCATTGCTCAGGACTTTATGGTACAGTTTTCATTGCTCAGCTGTTATGGTACACATTCTAAAAGGCATTTGTATATTGTTTCTTGCAGATGCCTAATGATCAAAGAAAATTAGTATCTCAGAAATTTATTCACAGCTGGAAAATCTTCTCTCCCGAGTGGTCTATATCCATACACATGTAACACAGATGCCACAGATGAAATAATGGTAAACCACGTTTGGTAAGAGTCCTGTTTCCGAAGAGCGTGTGTCTCACTCACCTGTTTGGCTAAGCTGAGATGTGCTTCTGCTCCTTCGAGACACTATGGCAACCACTTTGGCACTAAGGCTGGAACGCCTTTTCTTCCCACCTGTTCCAACCGTGCCGACAGCTGTGTCCGACTGACTCCCGTCATTGTGCTCCAGCTTATACATCTCTCCGCTCACACTTGTGCTCTTAGTGATTCTCCCTGAAGTCCCCATCCGTCTGCCTTGCATTTTAGGAGTAAATGTACTACAGTTACAAAGTAAAAACAAACATGTTAATTTGGCTCTGTAGCAGCAATTTCAAAATCCTTTTTATTTTTAAAATTAGTAAATTAATTTTAAGTCTTGATACATTTTCATTTATTTGGTTCACAAATAAAAGGTTAATTTGATGCTCCTCAGAGTATATATTTCCACTATTGTAGTTTGTTCTTCTTCAAGGGAAATAAATAAAATGAACACTTTCCCATGTTTTTCAGAGTGACAGAAAGAGACACGCAACATTTAAAAGTCATGTGGAGCCTTCCTGACTATAACCTCAGAATACAGACAGCAATAAACCAGGAATTTTAAAACAAAAAAAAAATGAACATGGGCCAAGAGGTTAATACACGTATCTTATTGGCACTGTTCCCCAAAGCCTTGACACCTAATAGACATGAAGGTATCATCATCTATATTTTCATACTTTGCAGAATGAGATAATATAATATGCAGTATTTTTTTTTGGTCTTCACTCTCTCACTTCTTTAAAGGTAAATGCAACAATCACAGTATGAAGGCAAAATAATTTTGAGGCACCCCCCACCTCCCAATAACCCACTAGAACTTTCACTGACTGACAGAAAGTTGAATCGCTCCATCAGTTCTGTTTAATTTTCTTTAGCTATCGCATTGCATTTGAATGTTTCTACACAAATCTGTTTTCTGCTCCTGCACAAAGAGGCTGGATAAAGTATTCAGAAACACGCTCTAGAGAACAATCTCAGATACACACAGGACATACAAATACGCAGTCCTGACACTGCTACGACCAAGCGATGCCTCAGCTCTAATCACAGAATCACAGAATCGTAAGGGTTGGAAGGGACCTCAGGAGATCATCTAGTCCAACCCCCCTGCTAAAGCAGGCTCACCTAGAGCATGCTACACAGGACTTCATCCAGGCGGGCTTTGAATATCTCCAGAGAAGGAGACTCCACAACCTCCCTGGGCAGCCTGTTCCAGTGCTCTGCCACCCTCAGAGTGAAGAAGTTCTTCCTCATATTCAACTGAAACCTCTCGTGTTTCAGTTTGCATCCATTGCCCCTAGTCCTGTCGCTGGACACCACTGCAAACAGACTGCTTCCTAATGGCAATACCAAGTCAGCTATCGCTCTGCAGAGACCCTGAATTTTAAGCTGCAGCCTGATTCACTTCAGATGTAGTTGTTAAATCAGCCTAGTACGTGGCAAATTCCCTGATCTTGTATTGCCGATCAGTAGACCTACTGGCAACATACTGATTTTAGAGGGTTTTGTTTTCATTGAGTCTGTATTTTGAAGTCAAACTTTGAAGTTATTTGTTGAGTGACAGTCCTGCTGTGCGCCGGCTTCTTTATGTCATGGTAAGTTTCAGACAGATAGGAAATCTTGCCAGGGAGAAATGAAGGGGTCTATGGGAGAAGAACTGACTTCTTGTGACTTCCATGGACCTGGGCCCTGCTAAAGCTTAAATCAGTCCTGTCCAAAGACAGATCCAGGAAAGTATAAAATAATGTATTCCTAAATTATGTTTTACTGAGAGTTATCTAGATTTACTAATATGTGACCATAGGTAAGAGCAGATAAAAATAGACAATACTTTTTGAAGAAGCAGCTGGTAAAGTTCTTGGATAGATGACACCTAATTATCAATTATCAGACATTATCAATCTCCACATAGGCATTTAACTGTGTTCAGCACTTAGGATCTGCTCCTGTTAAGCTCAGATAAAAAACCAGCTACCACATTCACACAGAACAAGGTGCTGTGATGCACTGAAGAACTCAAGAGCACATTTTAGTGGACCACCTGAGGCACACTGAGCTTAAAATAAGTTCTCTCTTGGTCCCTCCTATCCCATTGTGACTTTAGTGATTGGCTTTGGGGTTTGTATGGCAAAAATAGGACATATGTATTCTGATGTTTCTATGTAAAATTCCTTTGTTTTTATTGTAGATCCCTCCCAGCACACACTCCCTGACATTTATGTGAGCACACATATGTATTCAATCATTCTAGGAAGAATTTGAACTGCACTTTTCGGTCATTTAAAAAAAAAAAAAAAAAAAAAAAAAAAAGAGAAACAGCCTGTCTTCCATAAATATGCAAATATCAAGGGAAAGGTTTTGTGTAAGGCGAACTAGTTCTGTTCACTTAAAAATAGTATCAAATTGAGAAAAATGCCCTAAAACATTTCCCATTTTCAAAATAGAGACTGATTTTCTTGAGGGAGCTAAATATTAATTTCTTGGCTTTAATCTAAATCATGTTACTAATGTAGTACAGGTGTTTACTTCATAGGCTATGTATACTGCTGCTTTTTAAAGTTGCAATGATCCCTAAATAATGATATTTTTATTGTTGTTCACAGAATGCAATAACCTCAGCTTTACAAAATATCTAACCTAGCAGCTACTTTTGTTTGAAGTAACACAGATTTCTTGCTTTACCTCTCCACAAACACTGTAGCATGAAAAGATATGAAATGGGATTGCCACACAGGAGTAATTATTTTTCAAATAGCAAATTAATTTTAAAAAGCAGTGATGAAAATCACAAAATTCATGCTGAAACTTCTGAAAATATTTTTCTACAATTTCAGGAGATTTAGTGAAGTTTATCTTCCTTAATTTTGGGGCTGAATATTGGTCCATAGCTCTAGCACAGAATCCTGGCTATGGCCAGAGAATCTTAGGAAATGTTTTCTCTTTAAGAAGAAATTATGTTAATAATTCGCACACCTATCAAGAAAACCTTAAAACTAGAGATCGAATGTACAGTGTGATGATACTGTCTGAATATGCAAACAACTTGCATCATTAGCTCAGCGTGCTGTCACACAGTCCCTGTATTGGGAGTTGGACTAGATGACTTCTAGGGGTCCCTTCCAACCCAAAACATTCTATGATTCTATGAATCTATGCCACCAGAATCTTTGATCCCTAATTGAGTATATCAGGGCGTGCCAACTTCATTCCTACATCAGCCAGTTTGCAATGCTGAGTCCCTTTTCCTCCTCTGCTGAGGAAACAAGGCCCCACACTTGTGCCCATAGGGTGCCAGAAGGCAATGCTGTTGACTGGTTTGCTTCTCTGGAGGAGGAGACACCTTGCCATTTCAAGAGGGGTAGACCAAAAATACAGCCTGATACTTGGAGGGGGCAGAATCACACAGGCCTCATTTTCAGGGGTCCTACTTTCTACTTTGATTAGACATGGGTAATTCCTTTCCACATGGGTAATTCCTTTCCACATTGATAATTCCTTTCCGCCAGCACTTGGAATTGGATTTCTGTGACTATTTCTGCGATGCTGATGATGCCCCCTACTCAAAGCTTTCTGTAGTCATTTTGTTCCCGTTTTGAGCCATGGAGTTCTCATCAATTCTGGAACTCTTGAGTTTATTTATCAATACTTTAGTAAGATAGAGGGAAGAAACTGAAAATACTTCTTTTGAGAGCATCCGTTGACATTTGAACTATACTGACATTTGTTGACATACTAATCTATAAATGTATCATTTATAGCAATGAAGTTTAATGGACTATAACATCTGTCATGCAATTAAAGAAATAATTGTTTATCATTCTATTGACTTTGCTGAATTTCAAGTGTTTGTGAGTATATAAATCTTAGGATGTTTTTATCCCAGTCTTCACTTTTTTTTGTACAATGGAGCTGACATGCTCTAATCTCATATTATTTAATAAGAGTGGAGGAGACAATGATGTCCACTGACCGAGAAATAAAAATCGGTAGAATCATAACTTTAGGAAAATCCCATTTTTGATTTATTAATTCCCTAATTCAAGGACTATGAATACTTTCTGAATAATAAATAAATTGCTTTTTCAAAGACCCACATAAATTTCTATTTTCATTCTTTGTGACGGGGATGTAGAATATTCACCTTAGTTAAAAAAAAAGATTGAGATATTTGGAATTCAAATTAATCTTGTACTTGTTTTTACCTTGCAAATATCAAGTCCTACTTTCCTAGGAAATATGTTCTAGTGTACTTCTCATATGAAAGAGCTATTCATTTGCTAGAAATGGGCTTAATGAGATAGGACCAAGGATCAAATCCTACAGCTGTCCAGTACTTCCCCTTGTCATAACTAAGCAAACAGATTAAGATTCCTTTGCGTTCATCTAATCCTTGAGTTAGTTTATTATTTGACATTAATTGGAACAGTATCAAAAGAACGGGCATTTAAAATTCAGTCCTCTTCTACCGTCTAATTGTGTACCCTTAGAACATGGTATTTTTCCATTTCATTACTGGCTATCACTTGGAGAAACAGCTCCTAGCTCACACTGTTACTTTTTTCAATATGGTTTGAGTTTCATTTGTGAAGCACAAAGAAGCAAAACACCCACATGAATTTACATATATCCTTTTGCACTTAACCCTTCTGATAATAACATACTTAAAATTTTATTTTCTGTTACTGGACTTGCTGGGATTATTGACACAATCATTTAAATGCAGAGGCAAGTTTTTGCAGGGCTGTGGCTAAAACTGATAAATTACAAAGTTACATTGTTGATTCAAACCTAGTTATCATAACACAATAAATAAATAGTTTTCAGTAGCAGGATAACTAAAAGCAACACATTTATCAGTATACTCCATTTATTTCTAAATGAAATAATTCACTACATTTTTACTGAAAACTATTTTACCATCTTTAGCAATTCTTTCAATGACTAGTTCAGCAAAAATCTCATGCCATTTCTAATTATTGGCATAACAACATCATCAATGTGTAATTATGGACAATCTATCTGTGCCTCTGTTTTACTTCACAGATATTTAGCACAGAAAAAGTCTCTTGATTTTTGGTGGGTTTTTTGGGGGGTTTTGTTTGTTTTGTTTTGTTTTGTTTTTTTTAAAATTGAAGTAAACCACTAAAGCCAAAACCCCTTCAACCCCAGCAGGAGCAGAGCTGCCCCCAGCCCGGGCTCCCTTGACTTGCCCTTCAGCACCAGGGTCACCCACTGC